TTTCAGCAGATAAAATTCATGGGATATATTTTTATGACGCCACAAAAAACAAAAAAAAAAAGAGGGAATTCCATTGCACACAATCCATCACTTAGTAATATTAATACAGTCATTTATCAATAGCTCACTTAAGAACCAGCCAACTGAGAACCGTTTATTTACACAACCTGAAACCCGTTCTTCAGTTCAGCCACCACTCCCATTTTCAAGTTTTCGTTATGTTTTTGCTCAAACGCGGCGCTTAAGAGTCGAAGTAATAATACTCAAATAAAACATTTACAGGCACAGACAGCGAAAAACTGCAAATGACATTGTGATGCGGTGGTGGTGCTGCTGCGGTGGCTCTCTGTGTGCTGCTGTGTCCACAAAAGCAGCGTTCAGAGTTGAGTGAGTCAAGTGGAAAGTGAAGTGGCGGGAAGAGGCATGAGGGGTCTGGAATTCGCCAGCCAAGTGCACTTCATTTCGTTTCCCCCTCATAAATTCAAACCGAAAAATTCGCTCACAGTTGCGCGGCCGGGCAAAGCATGAAGTGCACTTGCAAACAAGCTGCCTACAGTGCCACACACACACACACACACACACACACACACATACACACACACACATACAAACATAGACTGGATCAGCTTGTAGCGAATACCGTTGACACTGTCTATGGGGTCTTGGGGTTTTTCGTTCAGGTGTCTGGTAGGAAATTTAGTTGCTTCAACAAAACCGCAAATGCGACAAAAGCAGAATGCAATTCGCACTTGAAACTGAAAAAGCAGCAACAACAAACAACAACAATGCAAAAGCGCATTGTGGTTAAAACAAAAACTTTGCAGCGACGCAGCTGCCTTTTTTGTGCTACATCGTTTTTTTTTTTTTGTTTTTAACAAGGTTTTCCCAATTTGCTGCAGAAAATGAAAATTTAAATTTTTAAGCAACGCAAACCGTCGACGAAGGAATGCTGCCAAAAGTTGCTCAACAGTTTTTTTCTTTTTTTTTTTTTTGCATACAGCTGGAAAAATTCACACATTTCCCACAGCGCATTTGCAGCACTTTTCCAAATGCTCCATTTGGCTACCGTATTCTTTTTTTTCTCCCCATCGCTTCTTGCATCAACCAACTCGACTCGCTGCCATTTTGCAGTTTTGTCAAGCAGCCATAGTCTGCATAGTTTTTTACTGAGGTTTTCCGCACTGTCTGCTGATGAAAGAGTAAGGTGCTGGATACAATGGATTTTTCTTTCAGTTTTCGCACTCGCTTTAATTTCACATAACGAAAGACAGGAATGCGGTAACGTTTTGTTATGACTGGCCAAAGTGGCCGGGCTATCATCGTGGCGCACCACCAAAGAATGCACATCAGACACACAATTTCCTGTTCCATGCTTAAGGGGTTACATGCAACAAATGCCTGGAGTCCATAACGGCTGCCAGGCACGTTGGTCATGGGGCGTCCGTTGTTGTTGGCCTGGCATCAATCACTGCATTTTCCATTTTGGCTCTGTTTCCCTCTCTCCCTGCTGCGAATGTTCTCGACCCAAGCTATAGCTAATCTGTGGTGGCTGCCCCACAACCCCCTATGTTGTACTCCTTGGCTTTGGTAACCTGTTCGTTGCCTTTGCATGGCACTCTCCACTTTCACTACCCTCTTCCTCCCCAAACTGCTGCTGTTCGCATTCTGCCTTTCTGCCACACACTTGGCTCAATTAAAAAATAGCTATAGTTTGGTAGACTAAGGGAAAGGGAGGGGGAGGTTGTGCCGTTTCCTTTGGCAATTAATTTGTTCTTGTTCAAAGGCATTTTTAATTGCATTTCCACACGAAATGCAGCAATTTTGTTTGTGTGTTTATTTTCACACCTATATAAAATATGCAAAGTGTTCCTGTCTTAATTTTATTCGCACAGGTCAGCCTGACAAAGACAAAACCTGAAAAATCAATGCACGACTATGTTTATGACTTTTTAGATAATTTTAATGGAAACTCATTTACAACCCAAAGGCCACAATTACGTTAAAATACAGTTGCGGAAAGTTGTAGAACTCTGCTCCGGCTACTTTTGCTTTCGGCATCAGCTGAAGAGCAACTGAACCCAGAGTTAAGCCCGAATTTCTACTTCACTTTCGCTGTTTACTTTCGCACTCGAATTTTACGAACTGCCTCAATTTTTTGACGAACAGAAATTGAGTTGTCGTCTGAGGAAGAGCTAGCAAAGAGAAAAGTTTCGCGCAGTCGCAAAAAACAATTTCGAAAAGAGTTTCTGGCCAACAGCAGGCCTTCTTTCGAGTATTTTAAATTGTATAAGAGTTACTAGAGCAATGTTGTTTGATTAAGTTTTTAATTGTGGAAAGATATCGAAGCAAGAACCTTCAGTAAGACTTCAACATGTCAGAATTTATCAAAATTAATAATAAAATATGAACAACAAAAAACAAATTTGCATTAATTTGTGGCATATTTGGATACATAATTCTCGAGTGTTTAGGTGACAACAATGCACTTGCACAAATTACCCATTTGTTTTCCAATCAATATTTTAGCATTGAAAATCTTTCTTTAATTGCATAAATTGCCAAAGGGAAACAAAAATATGTGTGTAAGTTAAAGTCTTGGAGCAAAATCAGCAAGAAAAACAAATGAGAAAAATAAAGAGAAAATGTGAAAGGGGTTATAGTAAAAATGCAAATTCACCAGAGCAAATGGCAGCAAACAGAGATTCATTGGATTTTAATTAACAGAAATGGCAAAGGCTCCGATACAACAAGGAATAACAACTATGTGTAGCTGGGTCAAACCAAATACACATACTGCACATTATGTTGGCTCTGTTTGCTCTTCCCTGGCCTTTGACTTTTGACTGCCTCGAATACTTTATTGAATGTTGCTTTGATTTTGCTGCTGCATTTTATTTTCTACCATTTTTAGCTTTTTGCTTTAGCAGTAATAGTAATTTTTTTATGCTGGCAGCGTATACAGCTTGATTTGTGGCGCTTTGTCTTAGAGCACATCCCTCTAGCCCCCAACCCCAATCCGGCTCGAGCCAAGGAGATGCTCGTGAAGGTTGTTGCCACATGTAGCAACCGCTCACGTAAGTCGTGTGAAACATATACTACCACACCCAAACTGTTGTGCTGGGTGCTCGATTCTCGTCAGCGACACACACGGACAAGGGCGAGGTCAATTTCATGCAACACACAGGAGCAACAACAAAAATAAAGGCAACTGCTGGTGCTGTTTGGGTCCACGTGGGACACGTACTCCTTTGCTCGGTCGCTTGCGCGCTGGCTGGCTTGCTGCTTTTCTTCTGATACGGCACACGACAGGTGCTCAGCTGTAACTAAACGTCCGTTCCAGCTTAACCCACCTGCCCTGTGTGCGTCTCTCTCTCTCACTCTTTCCTTCTCTCTCTCTACCCCCGTCTCTCTTTCTCTTCCTCATATCTGCCAGGACTTGGACACATCAGAGACGTGCCAGGCTGGCAGCTGTTAGACAGTCACGTCTCCACCGGCCATAATTGATAGTTCAATCTGTTGCAGATCAAACGCTTGACAGCAGCCAACAGATCAAGCTGAAAAATTGCCTTCATGCCTCCATTTTGGGCATAGGTGGTCAGTCAGGGCTTATGCTTATAGGAAATAGCACTCTTTTGAATTCCTAATCGATGCAAGACCTTGATAGTAATGTAACTACTGAGACCATCAGGAAAGCTAATTAATTAACTCTAAGATCTTTCACTATTTAGAAGTATGGGTATAAATCGGACATCTTTCAAACTCTAAAATTTAATGAGCCAAGAGAGCCAAGTAAGCCAAGTTAAAGACCTTCAAAAATATACACAAAATATATATTTTCAGCTGTGTATGTGTTGACATGTGTGTGGCTCTTATTGCTGCTGTTATTACACTTATTGCTGTTGTTGTTTTAATGAGACAACGTGACCTCTCAACTGCAGAATTTATGAGGGCCACTCGACACTTAAATTACACAAATAAAAAATGCGAGCATAAACATAAATGAAGCCAGGACTTCAACGCGCCAGCCATTAAAATAAAGCGACAAAACATGAGCAGTAAACAAAATTGGCAGAATAACTCGTGAGCCAATAAAAGACTTTGCTTATTATTTGCAAAGGAAGAAAAATACAAGCACTTGAGCGACAAATAACTTAAAAGCATAAATCCATTTTCAAATTTCTCTTTTCCTTCCCTACAAAAGTGGCTTTTTGTGCAGCAACTTGCAACGCCACAAACGTGCAGAAACTTTGCGGAAAATTGCTGTAGTGTTGCATACTAAGAGAACCATGAACATTTTATAAGAAATGCAAAAATAAATAAATTGTATATAGAATAGTGCCCATAACGCAGTTAACGTTTTATTAGGTGTGCCATAAATTGAATTTTCCCAGCAGAAAGGAAATTTTCAAATATATAAAGTGAGAAATTGATTACAAATTGCACTAAATATAACTCTTAAAATTGCTGAAAAGATACAAGATGCAGTTGGCTGAACACACATAAATTAACCTTATTTAATTTAACTTTTATCATTCACGAAGATATCATCTTTCTAGAGGGAAGATAAGCTCAACTGTTAACCATTATTATTCTAATGTATTTATACGAGTATTGATCTAATCTGAATTGTGAGGCGCGTGTGAGAAACAAACATTTTTATCAATGCTTTATGATTATTTTAGTCTATGACTAAGCAACGGAAACACTCAAAAGATTTGAGCAAAGTGTGCAAATGCATTGACATATACTTAGTATACATTTGTGTATATCATTTCCTCATTATTATCGCACATTGAAGAAAGTTCTCAAAACACGGCAGTGGCTACTACTTTTACAGATAAGCAATTAGCCAGGTAAATATGCCCCTGTGGTCTCAATTAATATAATTAATATATATTTTAAAGTAATAATAGCTATCTTATCGCTTTCATTATTGACAGTTTATGTTTAAGTGCTCCGATGAAACTTTTTAAAGCTGATTGCGCTGCCAAAGTTTCATTAGTCTCGAACCAATCGTGAACCAGTGAACATAGGAAAAAATAATTCAAGATATAGCAAACTGCATAATGAAAGGTAAATTTCTTGTGAATATAAATGAATATATTTTTATTTAAAATTATGTCTAAAATTTTAGCCAATACTTGGTGTTGGTTGCCAGTGCTGATGGTATTAATACCAGCGACTTTGGCATTGGTAGCTGAGCCGAGACACGAGGCTTGCGTCAATGAGGAAAGATACGAGAATCAGGTAATGTGTGCGGGTGTACAGTTTGGCTATCGAGCTCCATATCCGGATAATTGCACATTGTACTTAGTTTGCGATTGCATATACCCCACTGTGATGCAATGTTCCGCCAATCTGTATTGGGATAATAGTACACAAAACTGCAACTGGCCACAGGATGTAGAGTGCATTTATTACACCATTGATACAACCACAACAATATTGACAGTTTCCCCAACACAAACAACGCCGAAAACCACAAGCCCCATGTCGAGCACAACAGAGACGCCTTTGCCCACATCCAGCTATGATCCGCCACCGCCACCACCGGGTATTGAGATGACATACTGTAAGAATTTCGCGGATGGATCGGTGCATCGATATCCGTACGATTGCAATGCCTATATTAACTGTACTCATGGCTGGCCAGTTTTGAATTACTGTGAACCCGATAAGGTCTTCAATCAAGTGCTGAGCATATGCGATACTCCCGAAACCGCTCAATGTGAGCCGCTACCATTGCCACCAACAACAACAACAGCTGAACCCACAACAACAACAATAACAACCGAGCTCACGACGACAACAGCCGAACCCACAACAACAACAACAATAACAACAACAACAGAGGATGGCCAGTGTGGTGATCCACCCTTGGGCATTGAGGAGGATTACTGTGAACCGTTGGGCAATGGTTTCTACACTTATCCCTACAATTGCAATGCCTACATTAGTTGTCGCAATGGCTGCACTGGGATGGCCTACTGCATACCCGATAAACTCTTCAATCCATGGCTGCACATCTGCGACACACCCAATTCGGTGCAGTGCAATCCAGAGCCTTATCCGACAAGTACAGTTGCAACAACAGAATCGGATACGAGCAGTTCAAGTGGTGGAGCGGAGACAATCACAACGCCTGTGACCACGGAAAGTAATTGGAGCACCACAACAGTGGTTACTACAACGACGACACCAGCACTTCCAGCCGATGTAGATCCTGATGCCTGTAAGGGCTTACCCGATTATACACGGTTACCTTATGCCGGTGACTGTGCACAGTTTCTGCAATGCAAAGATAATCAGGTGGTTATGAATCAGTGTCCCAAGCCATTGCTCTTTAATCCCGATTATCTAATCTGTGATGAGCCCAATGATGTGGTTTGTTATGGTGATCGCACCACAAGCACTAGTACAATACCACCAACCACAACCACCGAAGAGCCAACAACGACAACTAGCAGCACCACTTTGACAACCATGCCGGCGACAACACTAGGACCCGCCGAGTTGTGTAAAGATAAAGAATTAGGCGACTCATTTCCATACGTGGAGGATTGTTCAAAGTATATTTTATGCTTGGGCGATGGGAATTTCTATGTGGCAATGTGCATGGTCAATTCCTATTATGATCCAAAGACGGGCATGTGTGGACCAAATGTGTCACCAACAGCCTGTAAGGAGACAGCAGTAGCAACAACAACAACAACCGAGGCCACAACAGCAGAAAGAACCACAACAACGGAGGCTGTCAGCACCACCACAAGCGTGGCACCAACACAAACAACAACAACTTCAACCCCAGTGCAACCTGGCGGCATTTGTGGCAATAAGGATGAGGGTGAAATGATTGCCTATCCGAACGACTGCAGCAAGTACATTGTCTGCGTGTCACCCATACCAGTTGCCTTCTACTGCCGTCCCGATTCTTACTTCAATGCCAAGCAGCAACAGTGCGTGCAGTGGGAGGACAGCGACTGTGACAAGGAGGCGTCGTCGACAACAACACCTGGTTACACGCCAGCCCCACTGGAGCCGACAATGTGCACGAACAGCAGTCGCGGCACCTTCCCCTATCCGGAGAACTGTCAGTGGTTTATACGCTGTGTGAACGATTACATCTACATGATGGATGTGTGCAACTGCGGCGAATACTACGATCCGATAAGTGGTGAATGTGGTGCGGATGTACCATCCGATGCCTGTCGCTGGGACTACACTTCAACAACAACAGTCGCGACAACGCTGGCGCCTGTGACGAGGCCACCGCCTCAAAAGGGTCCCTGTGATGATGTCGCCGATGGTGAACTGGTGCCGTATCCCAACGATTGCTCCAAATATATTAAATGCGATCGCCCCATAGCCGCTGCCTTTGATTGTGATGCTGGCGATGAATTTAGTCCAGTGTTGCGCAAATGTATGGAAGCTTCGTTGGCTAATTGCCCAGGGGGCGCAACGACAGGTCCTGGAGAGACAACAACAAAGGGCCCAACACCATCCACAACTGAAGAGCCTTCTACAACCGTAGATACTTCTACAACTCAAGGAATTTCCACAACTCCTGAAACATCCACAACCGAAGAAACTTCTACAACTCAAGGAATTTCCACAACTCCTGAAACATCCACAACCGAAGAAACTTCTACAACTCAGGGAATTTCCACAACTCCTGAAACATCCACAACCGTAGATACTTCTACAACTCAAGGAATTTCCACAACTCCTGAAACATCCACAACCGAAGAAACTTCTACAACTCAACTGACTACCACCACTGAAGAGACTTCCACATCTGAAACAACCACCACTACCGAGAGCACAACCACCGAAGCAACCACAACTGAAATAACTACAACACCAGCGCCCTCTGGTATTTGCGGCGGTAAACCCAACGGTACCTTGGTGCCATATCCAAACAATTGCGGAAAATATATTGTTTGCCTGGAGCCCATTCCGATTGGCTATGATTGTGCTGAAGGTTTGGAGTTCAGCCCCACAGAACTTGAGTGCATGGATCCAGATTTGGCTAATTGTGCACCGAAACCAACACCGAAACCAACACCGATACCAACTACAACTACAGAATCATCCACCATAACTACACCTGTGTCTACAACTGTACCAGCAGATACCACACCATCGACTACACCAGAGACTACAACTATATCAACAGATTCTACAAGCACAACACTGGAGACATCACCCATAACAACTACTCCAGCACCCACGACAATGCATCCAGATACGCCAAACATATGTTGTGGATACCCCTTGGGAACTATTTTACCATATCCCAACGACTGTAATCGCTATGTTGTCTGTGACTATCCGATACCATATGCTGTGGCTTGTGGAGAAGGCGAAGTCTTCGATGTAGAGTATCTACAGTGCACTGACAAGGCCTCCTGCATTCAATAAAAGGTGGAGAGCATCTAATTGTTAGAATACCTTTCAGATATTTTTGTTTTTTATCTTAATATAAATTGTGACTACTAACCTCGTTTTTAATTTTAAATGCAGAGTGAATCTAGGTTTGACTGCTCTCTACACAACTTTATGAATGCATGATTTAACAAGAATTTCGATTTAGACTCGTGTTTCCTGTGTTGAATGCACTTTAATCTAGATCTCAAGCCAATATTAAAAAGACGTAGGTTTTCAAAATCGAATCACTTTTGACAAAATTATGACAATAGAAATCTTTGAACAGAGCTATTTTCATTTTGTTCAGTGTTTTGACCCCCACTCTTATAGAATTAATTGACTAAATGCACAAATGCAAATCCATTTGAGACATTTACCAAAGCACTTTAAAGGCCTCTGAGAGATTTTCTCGAACAGGTATCAATTACATGTAAACCCTTTTTGAAAGCATTGTCATTACAAATCCCACACAAGTAAAAAGATAATTTACCACTTAATATCGTATCTCAATTGGTAAGGCACAAAACGGGAATACAACCAGGAACAGGGACGCGAAGGAACAGGAAGCCTGACAACAGCAACAGCAAAAGGAACTACAACAACATGAATAAGCTAGGACAGTTTTAGCAACAGGCTAACAGAGCAAATTGTCGTCGTATTGGGTAATATCAGTTACAACTTTCAGCAATTTATCGTTGTTTGATTTATCCACCCTCTCAGCCCGCTGCCTTACCTAATCAGATTTCAAGTTGGCCACATGTAGCACAATTGGCTAAGGAATTATATTTGGGTGGGAGTTTGCCGTTCTGTTGTGTGCGTCCTGGGGGGAAGAGAGAAAAATAAAAACGAAAAATAGAAAAATAGAAAAACGACCAGAAACGTTGTGTAGCAACAACGACGACGGCAACAAGGAGACAAATAAACACATTTGTAGCAAATTGTTTGGCAATAATGTTAACCTAATGCGTTCCATTTGTCGCAATTCAAACGATAGACACGCATTGCCATTGAAGTGATTTGTAAACTCCCCCAGGACCTAAAATCGAACTTCTTAGTGGCGTCGAGGCTTTATCAGCTACATAAAATCAGCAAATACACTGTGTCTCACATGTATCATGTATTCAGAATCCATTGAAAGAGTCCACAAGAGAAAAACCCAATTTGACAGCGCTTGGCACTCTTCCAGTTCAACAGCCAATTTACATAGTCCAATCAGAGGATCACGATGCAGGATGCTTACTTCAATGTTCGCAATGAAGAAACAATTTAGCCACACATTTATTTTGCTTGACTTGAAGCGGAGCCAAGTTTAAAGTGCTGCCAAAACTGTTGCCCGCTCGGGCGACTTGCCAAAACTCATAAAACACGCCTATAAATGTCACACTTGGCGAATGCTTAGTATGAATATTGCTCATATTTCGAGTGGAACTTATACGTAAAACGATTTATGATGTCTCACGATATAAGAAATTCCGTGGCAGAAATCAGTAGATGTTGGACAATGAATATTAACCTCAGCAAAGCATATTACAACAGAAAATTAACTAAAAGCAACAATTTTCAAACTATAAACATTATTCTTGATTATAAATATGTGGCATCTAAAATGTATGCTGACAACTTGTCAGCTTTGCAAAACTCTCAATTTAGTAGCACATCTGTAAGAGTTGAACAAAAGTTTTGCTACAACTGTGTGCAGCCAGCTAACAATTAGTGAATTGCAATGAAAACATTTCACAGCAGTGTACTCGACATTTTGGTATGCAATGTGCTTGACTACCCTATAACGAGTTCATGCGATATTATGAAACTTTTACTGTGCATATTAATGTACAATTTCAGCTATGTATATGTGCAAAAATATATTTTATGCTACCCGTGAGAATTCGCCAGAGAGGCAGCACTTGCACACATTGGGAGTTGAGTTTTAACCTCTTTTTGGACATAAAATATTGAATACATAAGTTGGTATATGAATATGAATAACTCAAAGACTCACACAGCTCACAACAATATTCACATTTAAGTAAATTCTGTTAAAGACTGAACCTATTAATTGAAATCAAAATCAGATATCTAAAATGTATAGCAAATAAAAATTCAGTTTTCGACTGGATCGGTGGAAATGATTAATTAAACTAGAATATATAAAATTTGAAACCAATTTGTGTGCCATTACTTCAAATAGTTTAACAATTCTGATTGGACTTAGCTTAAAAATTTGCACTTCTTAAATTTTTAGTCTTGTTCATCAATTTGATTTTCATCTTCGTCATCCCCCTGGTTGTCCACATCTTTTCCTTCCATCTCAGACTCCTCGTCCTCAGGCAGACCATCGTATTCGGGACTGCCGCGCAAGACACCATTCCAGGAGTTAAACCAACCGTTGTTCCAGCCAGGACTCAAACCATTATTATTAGGCACATTAATATTGGCGCTAGCAATAGAATTCGAAAGACACGGGATGGTCGCCGAGGACGTACTGTTGGATAATCGCGCCGTCGAATTTGACTGCTGGGCGAGCTGTTGAGCTAACTGCGCCAGAGCTAACGTGATTGAACTCAGATTGGGTCCAAACTGTGGCGCACAACTAGAATAGGCAAATATGCTGGCCAGTAGCAGGGTAACAACTGATACGACTTGCATGGCTGCTGGTTACTGAAGATGGAGATGCTTTAACGAGTCGTACGTAACTGAGCTTTCTGCCAGCTCGATCAGCGTTTTTATACTAAACCAATCAAGATCAAACAGTTAAATATAGTTTTACAAGCCTTCTTGAGCAATCGTGTAAACCAAAATGATTACGGAATCTCTTCAAATTTCAAACAATAAGTTTCGATAAGTAGCTGAGCATTGCGCGATAAACTTTGGCTTTGACAATGTTGCATTAAGGTAACAGCTGTTCTTAGGAAAACATTAGCAATATGTTTGTTTTGCCTCTTAGAACAGTTAAATCGTTGAATTACCTGTTATTGCATCATGTCAACATTTCGAACCAGTTTCATTAAAATGTTTGCATAACCTCATACTCAGAATTGAGGCTGTATTTTGTTTGTTTCGAAAACAGAGATGTGGGCAATATATAGAAAATTGTAAATATACTAATAAGAAGTACTAAGAGCACAGAAGAAGATAGCAATGAAATCTTTATTATTATGACACTCTCTTAATACGACAGGGTTCTTGACAACTTTTATGTAGACAAATCAAGATTCATATAAATAATTTCTAAGCTGCCACTTTCTTGCGTCTTATGCTCCCTATGAATTGAACTATGAAACAGCTAAGTATGATTTTCTGATTTCACGATGAAATTTATACATTTCTTAATAAGACCAACAAGTTTTCTCAATGTTTGTGTTTGTGAATTCAGGTACAGGCGCTCAACAAAAAAGACATTTGGGCACAGAGAACAAATCCATCCACTTAGCAGGAGCAGCAGAGAGTATAAACAAGAGCGATTACAACTGGTAATAACACGATTCAGTCGTATAAAAAAAAAAACGCTCACAAATTTAATGTTGCTAAGCGAAACGCTTAGGATTTTATGTTGCGATACTGTCACATATAACCATATAACAAGTCCAGGCACAATATTCATAAAGGCGCCCATCATCATTATGGATCTGCTATGCCAGAAGCTGGCAGAATGTGGCATGGGTTGTTATGTAAACAACTCGACAACAAATTATGAGTAACGCAACAAAATTTTATGTACTGCACCGTTGATTGAAGATTGTTGGGCGGGAGTTGAGCTGAGTTGCGTATACGCAACGTGGCAAAAGTAGACTGAGCTAGAAGAAAAAAGTAAAATATAAAAATAAAATTATATCTTAATTAAAAAGCTCGTTGAATATATTGAAACGACACGTTTAATTAAATGAGAAATGCAAAGGTGCGCTTGCCACAGGTTTATATGTTTTTGTTGTTTACCTGCCACACATTTTCGCATTTAACATTTCTTTGTAATTTGGCATTTTACCGTTCTCTCCGCAGATGGCAGCCAAAGGGAAAGTGGCAACAGTGAAAGTGGATATAAAATAAATTAACCGCAGTCAATGTACTCATGCATGTTGCATGTGATGAGGTTTCTATTAATTTGAGCGCTCGTTTCGGTTTCATTGAATGAAAATGTGTTTGCATACACTTTTCATTTGATTTAATTAAACTTTTCTGCGTCTTTTCATTGATTTGTCACAAAGTCAGCAATCCCAATCGACAATTGCCATTGTCTAGCCCAAGTAGCGAGCACAGTGCCGAAAATTGCGTTTTGAATACCCAACCAAGAGTAACTTTAGCCAGAATTGCAAATGTTGTTATCACAAACAAGCCGCAAAAGCCAGCTAGTCGCTGTTTTCATAAACCGTACTTCAACTTGCGCAACTCGAGTTCAGAACTCGGCGAAAGTTCTTTTTTTTATGATATGTGCAAAACTTACACTGTGCTACACAGCATCGTGACTTGTGTGTGTGTGTTTATTTAATATCTATGCTCGTAAAATAAATTAAACATTCATATTCCGTTTATTTACTTAGGCAAATTGAGTTTCCACAGTTGACATGCTGAATACGCAAAAAAACCCCTATAACTCCAACCAGGCAGTGAATTGCGCGAGGACTTCAACTTATCTCAGTGTCATCTGCTGGGGCGGAGATAGCAGCATAGGGTTAAGATCTGGGAGCGTTTGTGCACAGGAAACGAATGTCTGTTGCATGCAAAGTGACAAATGTCATAAAATATTCAATTGGCCAACATTTGGCAGGGCCTGCAAGAGGTGTCTTGAGGCAAGCGGAAAAGTTTCGGAATTTGCTGAAATATCTGTGTATGTCTTAAAGTGAATTTACAGTAAATTAAACTGCGATTTGACATGAAGAGTCGATACAAATATTTGTAATGGAGCCTGTGTAGAATATACATTTGTTTATAAAATGTAGAATATTCAGTTGGGTTAAGTCCGTTTTCATGCAAACAAACAAGTGTTTAGATTTCGGCTAGACATTTATTTAAAGTATGCCATTCAAGCTTAAGCATAGACTTCGCCATAGAATATAAGCTATGCATACAACAAATATGTATTAAAAATACAAATCCAATTAATAACTATGATATCTATAGTAGCCAAAACACTTAAGCCTTTGTTCTAATGATTGCTCCCCCTTAAGGGCAAGCAATTACACGCACATTTGAACAACATACACAAACACAGAGAGGGAGAGGGAGAAAACAAGCGATTGTCCATAAACCCTTAACAAGTCATAATTGGCAATCGAGTATAAAATATCATGTCATATGTGTAACTGGGGGTCATCAAAAACAAAAACAGCAAGAACAACAACCAACAAGCACAACAACGATCATAAATCAAACACGCAAGGCCCCCAAAAACAATGTGTTTGTGGCTCACACACATTCATAAATACAAGTATCTGCGTGTGTGTGTGTCTGTGTCTGTGTGTGTCTGGTAGGGAAACGCTTCGTTTCCATTGTGTAAATATTTAAGCACACAATAAAATGGAAACAATGGGAGGTATGCCAACCAAGCACACTCACACACACGCACTCTTCTACCCAGTTCCTTTTTGCTGCTTGAGGGGTACACAACAAAAAAAAAACAACAACAAAAATAAAAAGAAAAACAAAACAAAACAAAAGCATAGCAGGTGTCAAATGTTGCGGCCAAAGAAATGGCAAAGTCAGTGTCAGTTCAGTTTTGGCTCACATGCAACTAACTTCCCCCCGTGCAGCCCATTCCCTACCCCGCTGATAGACGGGTTGCTCGAGCTTATGACAGCGATAGAGAGAGAGAGAGAGACAGCAGAGCAGCAGAAGCTCGACTCGTCTTCGATTTGCACATATGTTAAAACATTTTACGTAAGTAAAACTCAAAAATTGCGTTGCGGAACTTTTGCTACGTGCCGTTTTGGGCAGGCACGAAACGTAGCTGGTTTTCAGCTGGCAGCTGCAAGTTGCCAGCCAGGCTGCCCCAGCCATTTTGGCTCCCCACATTAGTTGTAAGCACATAAAAAACAAATAAATTGTATGCGCCTCATTGGATTTTATGACTGCAGCAGAAATGATTTAGATGGAATGTAACGTGTTTGCTATTGGGAATTGTCATCTTGGCCAAAGTTAGTATTCAATCAGTTGGCGGCATCGACAACTTTGCATGGCCAAAAACTTTTCAAGCTGTTCAAACTGATTTTAATTAGACACTCGGTCTCAGGTACGCCATTATCCATAAAGTTGTCTATCGGATAGAGTGAGTGGAAACTTTATAATCGCATTGCACGCAACTTTTCACTCACTCAGCGCGTTCTGCTCGTTGACTCAATCAGTTTGCTTGGCAGCGTTGCAAATATTTTTTTGAAAACGAATTATTGACAATTGCAATTCAATTTCACACACAATTTGGCCAAAAATGTCGTCGTTGCTTGCTTGTTGCCCCTGTCACTGCCACCGGAAATAGCACAAAAACTTTCTCCGAGTGCAGCTGAAAACTTTTTGCACTTCGTGCCGTCGTGAAAAATTTAATTCAATGCTCACGAATGTTGTGCAATACGGTTTCCCTCCCCCCTTCAACCCTATCAAAGGAAAGTAAATAAATATCAGCGACTACAAATGCACAATAAATGTGCACACACACCGACAGTTTGACAGTTTTCCAGTGTGTGTGTGTGTGTGTGTGTGTGTTTACCCACACAGTAATATTTTGTGCCAAAGCATTTTGTTGAATGTGCCGCTGATTGAGATGCGAATTGTGAAAGCCTGAATGAAGTTTGTCATTGCTTTTATGTCAGTTGCACGCTGGAGACTCCTAATGGTGCTCAGCGCAAAAATAAGATAAGTAATACTCAATTACAACATCTGACTACACACTCAATGCAAATGAAAAAATCGGTAATCAATTCATTTATCGCTTGGGGTTGAAGCTATACATACAGAATTAACAAAACTTAATTACCCTTAAGTTAAGTTAAGATTAAGCTATCGGAGGGCATTTTTATGTACTCGTCCTACTCCTACTCCTAGTTCAATTAATTAATTTACGTTCAAAATTAATCCTGGAGACAAATAGTGATGAAAATAGACAATAGGTTTAGTTACAGTTGTAAAGGAGTTAAACACAAAGTGCCTTAAGTGCCTTAAGCCTTAAGTAGATACAGCAAAGGACAACAATAGGCTTGAATGGAAAAATACTTATGATACACGTCTGCCATAAATCAATGTGTTGCTTGATATGGAGCTGTGCTCATGCTTATTTAAAATACATACAACTTATTTGATATGCAAACGCGTCGAGACCCAATCGTACCCTGGAGCACAACTTTAAGGGCAACACCAACACCAACACCAATACCAACACCAACTCCTTGCCTTGCCTTGGCTGTTTGGAAATGCAGGTGTCCGGGCCAAGCAGCCAATGTGTTATGTTTCCACGTCCATTTTGGTAGACATTTAAACAATTTTCAACATGCATAGCAAAAGTCAAACATGAAAACTGTCAGCATTGCTGGCAATTTATGACTTTGCTAACACAAAACCTATGCAGAATTGTATCTGCGCGTGTTGAAAGTATGCTACAAATTTCAAATTAATATGCAGCAGGCAAAAAATTGAAATGGGTAAGCGCCAAACAAAAAAAGGAAAGAAAAAAAAAGTTCGGAGAACATGTTTCATTTTCGCGACGAATTATCGGAACCGGCAGCTTTTTCAAGTTTACGCAAAATTTACTACGTGATTTTCGTGGCATTGAGCCGAGACAGGGGGCAAATTTTTATAGAACTCATATATCACTGTAAAATGACATTTTTATTGTTTAGCAAAAAATATAAAAACAAGTATTTTTCAGGGGGTACAGGGAGTTGAAAAAAAAAAATATAATGAATTTATTTCGGCATTAAAATGGATGAGAACCTTCATCAAGGACAAAAGAGTGGTTGAAAGCCCCCTTAGAAATTTACGAGCAATACAGTTGTAAGAATTTCTCATGCTTTAAATTTAATATAAATAAAAAAAAAATTGTACACTTTTTTCCAACATTATTTGATATACTTCAGTCGCCTTGGGTGTGCCACAAGAATAATATGCACATATGTGTGATTGATTAAAAAATGTTTTAGCCCAGGGACAAACAGCCGTTAGCTAACACGGTGCAAGTTGCAGTTGCAACTGGAGTTGCAAGTTGCTATTGCTGTTGCCACGTGCAGTTTGCAAAGTTACTTGCAGTTAATTTAAGACTTTTCACACAATTTCACCGTCTCGTTCAGCGGCACGCAAAGAACGCGTTGCAATCGCCTTAAGAACTATTTTTAACAAATGTGCAAAACGTGACTTAAGCCTGAACACAAAATCCTAAAGTTCATACAAAATCACACATGCAGCATTGAAGAAAGAGCTTGTCGGGTGGCTAACTCTGGCGAGGGGTAGGCGGGTTGGGGGATTGGAATAGAACCGCACACTTGGGACATGAGCCAAACTAGCGATATGCAAACAAGCGTTGCGAGGATGAAGTGTGGGGGGAGGGGATAAATGTAATCCCTGTTTGCAAATATATTTGCAGCAATTTATAATTTATTAAAAAAGTGTAGCATAAGCCAAGGGCCGGCAATGTATGGATATATATATACATATATATTATATATATACCCATTGCAACAGTAGCGCTGAACAAAGGCACCTCACGTCTCTCCCCTCACACACGCACACATGTGCAACACACACACACACACACACACATTCACTTACCCCTCATCTCTGGCATGGTGCCTCGGGCACACATGAGTAATATGTGAGCAGCGCACAAACAGCACATCCAATTGCATTTCTGCTTCTCGCACGCTCTTTTTCTTGGTCAGTCGTCGCTGTGGTTGCCGTCTTCGGTGCATCATCTGCTTTTGTTTACTTTGCGCGAAAGGCGAAACCACAAAAAACGCAGTTACTTTGTTTTCGATTCTCTTTGCGGCTGTTCAAAGCGATCCCATTGCCATTCCCACCCTCTGCATCCCTCATGTCCTGTCCAGGTATTGGTGTGGGTCAGCGCTTGTTAAGCTGCATGATACAGTAACGAAATACTATTCAGTTGCGATTGTTAAATTGCATTTCCACTGATTTGCACACAGCTCGTGCTGTGATTTCAGTGAACTTACTCCAACTGAGATTACTTACTCGTAAGTTGCTTAGGGCCAGATAGCTCTGCCATTTCTGGCATTGATGAAGCAAACGCTGAGCAACTCTTGATGTTCTTCCTGTTCCACTCCTTGAGCTATTGTATTTCTGCTGCTGCTGCTGCTGATGATGAGCAGTATGCCGCTTGCCATGTTTTCTTTTTGCATTTTTCGTTATGGCCGGCGGCGTCTTGTTGCTGAAACTTCAAAGCAACTCATTTTGATCTGCTGCCGCGGCTGCTGCTGCCACGGCTGCTGCTGCTGCCACGGCTGCTGCTGCTGCCACGGCTGCTGCTGCTGCCACGGCTGCTGCTGCAGCGAGGGCTTCTTGGCATTTTTACATTGCATAGCTGAGAATATTAATTTTGATGTTGGTGTTGTCTGCACTGACTTGGCATAATCAATGCATTTGTGCTGCAGCTGTTGTTTAATTTCTTTGAAAGTCCAGAGAACGCCGCCGGGAAAGTTAATAAGTCAAGAATAGCGCCAAGTTTGCTTTGATCGTTCGCGTGCCGCTTGTTCGCCAATTTAATAGCGTGCACTTAATATTTTAAGGGCCATGGATAAATAATGTGAGAAAATTTTATATTTGCACAATTTGAAAATTTATTTTTCCAGAAGCACCAATTTGTGCAAAGTCACAAACTTGAATGATTTGTCTGCATCTTGCTTCTATTGATGTGCCTCGCTAAGCAGTCAGAGAGTCTTATGGAATATCGATTATAATGTTATATTATTAAAGCGATATCAAGAGAATTCGATACTATTTATCGAAGTTTTTTTATTTCAGTATCTGCAATCGATGTTAGCTTATTTTGTTATTGCTTTTAATACTTTTGAGGGGGGAAGGCAACTACACCATTCAAACATTATATAGACACTAAGTGGTTTAGATTAAAGTAGTTGAAAAAATTACGAAAATCGTTTTTAAAAAAATCCAGATATTCCTAGTAACCCAAATAGAAACGAATGAAATAGTATGCCCTGTAATTGTGACCAAGTCTTGAATATACTCAATCACTGCTGTGCCGGGGTCCATTATCATGGCGATAACAAAATGTTTAGTTTTTGGTGAGTAAAAACTTTTTTCTGTAGTAAACTTTTGCAAGTGCATATAAATTGAATGTAACTTTGCACTCATCTATGCAAACAAGACACTCCCACACACACACACACCACACACACACACGCATTCATACTGGTTACCAGCTATTTTGGAAGCCAAATGCAATTTGGAGAATTTCTGGGTGTCTCCCAGAGCCCAATAGAAAAACTTTGCATATATTTCACTTTAACATACATAGAGACTGCAATGTGAGACTCTTCCTCCCCATCGCCCTCCCCATATTCCAACCAACAAACTCATCCACATCCTTGTCCTTGTCTGCGTCTGCGTCTTCGGCGTCGTCGTCGTCGTCGTCGATACTTTTGATATGCAAAAGATATGAAGGGACAGCTGTTTCCTGCTCCATTTGCTTGCCAGAAACTTTTCCAACAAGAACCCGAATGTATTTTGAAGTTGCAAAATCGGTGGACCAAGGGAAAGAAGCTTGGCATTCGTAGTCTTTTCCTCGATAGTCACTTTAAATATCTGAAGGAAAACATTTAAAACTGCATAAAGTTGGTCCATTTCTTTTTTTCTTGTTTTTTGTTTGTTTTTTATTTGGCTGCAAAAAGTTTTCACGCTTTTCCATCCCCCCCTATTCAATGGCGCATTTCCCAACACTTTTAATGCATCCAGTTCAGCATTTTATGATATTAGCGTTTAGTCGCCTTAACTTTGACTATTTACGACAGCCAAAGGTGACCAGGTGCGCATTTTTAACCGTGTGCCACACGACGCTGCCTATGAAAATGGAAAACTTCATTGCGCTCCTCACACAGCAATTTCAACTTTTGATATTTAAACATGACATTTTTATTGGCGATCAACATGGATGGTGAAAAATTACGCGTATTTGGATTAATAGACGGCAAATAGTTAAAGCATAAGACAATTGTGATAAAACTAATGTAAAATTTGATAGGGAAGCCTTAAGCCTGAAGGCATAAAGAGAGTTTTCTAGTTAAGGAAGAAGAAATGTTTAATAATCATGCATGCTTTATGTTTACAAATTGCTTAATCAAGATCTGAGTCTGCTTCTGCCAATATTTCACAAATATGTCATCACTTTAAATTTTGTTTGCTTAAGTTATTTACTTTAATATTTTCAAATATTAAATATTTAAATGCCATTTATCATAATCATCAGTCAGTTGCTTTATCATCATCATCATTCCATCAAATCATCTAGTGTGCCATTTAGTAATGCGCTCAATCTGTTAATTAATGAGCAACTGCTGCACTTTTTGTCTTTGACACGGTGTAATTATGCTGAAAGTAACCAGCCACGCCCTGCTTTCGAGAGGTGTTGAGTGGGCAGGTGGGAGGGAGTGGCGATGGCCTCGTGGGCATGGCATGCAATGCGTAACACCTTCGCGCTTAAATGTAATTTATTTAGTCTACTTCACGCTCATAATGCCACACATCCTCCAGCATATAAAGCACAGCACTAACACAAACACACACACACAAACACACACACACAAACACACACACACACACATACCTCATTGACGAATGTAGAGAGTGTGTGGCCATTGTGATAGGGTAGAAGTGAGGGGGGAGTGAGAAGGGTGTGTCATTCATGTAACGCGTTTCGTCGGCAAGTCGCTCGGAAAAATTATGTTGCACGTGAGATGCTTCAGCAAATTTTCCTGCAGCCATGTAAATATATATTTTTGTATGTGTGTGTGAGTGTTTTGTGTTACATGGGATGAGTGAGTGGATCACTGAGCAGCAGCAGCAGCAGCAGTGGCAGCAGCATCGTGCTACATACGTGTGGCACAACTGAAGATGAGTTCCACTTGGATATATAAATTGAAATCATCAACGGGCTTTTGTGCGTTTTATCAACATTTTTACGTTGCCTTCACCTTAACGTGCCAGCGAGTAACTGCAGCATGCGCGGCGTTAAGCATACACGTTACCATTCGCTTTGTCAGGCTCTGATTTCACGCTCATCCACCTGGCCCAAATCCACCCACGTCCCCCCCACCCACTACGCTGCTGCTGCTGCTGCCTAGCAACTGCAAATTAAGCAATTTCGCAAGAGACTTTTGGCTGCTTTTCGGTTTAATGTCTGACTGAGTGACGCGGTTTATTAAGATAAACCATGATGAACGGCAGCTAAGCCAGAATCCCAATTCCAGACACTCGTCCCACATCTACCATATACCATATCCCAACTTCCAGCTACCTCATAATTACTACCTCAGGTTATTCGGCCTAGCCAGAGAGCCAGAGCCAGTTCTCATTCTATTAGCGCATTTGCATGCTTATCTCATTAACACAAAACACAAAAGTTCAGGACAGACATCAGTTGCTTTTTCTCTATGATATCCTGTACTCTGGCCGGCTGGGTATATATCACATTTTGGAATTTCAACTTTAATATTTCAATTTTTGGCTTATTCGTTTTCTGCTTAAGATTCAATACCCTTACAGGTATTCTCTCATTCTCGAGCAAGAATTTACTTGGAAATTAGATAGACTTTCTTTTTGAATATGCCAAGATTGCTGAATAAATTGTTGAGAAAGTATAAATCTAGAAGGACCACTGCTTTTACAGAGTATATCTTAGCATATCACTCTATGCTACCATTTTTACTCTTATTTTCTTTTCTTGGGTGCTCTCAACATAATTTGCATGTACATAACTGTTGTTGTCTCTTTTTCTCCGTGGCTAGTACGTGTCCTGGCTGCTGTACCCACTCCTGCTCTCGCTTCCCTCATGTTGCTCCTGTTGCGTTTCGCTATGTTGTGTGGAAGTTTGGTGCTTTTGTTGTGGTTTTCATTATCCCTTTCGTTTTGGCCTTTTGGCTGCTCATAAGCCGCAGCTTCAGTTGGGCGGCTGCAGCTGACACATTTGCCAATATTGACAATGCAGTAGCCGAAGCGTCAACAGCAGCCACGCCCACACTGTCCAGCCCCCCCCCCCCCCCCCCTCACTAAAGTTGCTTTATTTAGCATTTTCATGAGCTGCCTTCCTCCCCCATCTCTGCCTCGCTCTCTAGCTCTGTTTGCCCCTTTTGGCAGTGCCTAGACAAACAACTTTGGTTAGTGGACTCGGCCTTTTTACCACTCATTAGTGACAATTTTTCTTGTAGTTGACATTGCGGCCGCCCACATGCCACGCCCAAACAAACGACAAACTGCGGCCGGACAAAGTTTTGTGCCTTTTTTAGCCCGTTGACTTTTTGTTCGGCTTCTGTTGTTTTTGTTGTTTTGGCTGTTGTGTCTGTGTTTTCTTTTCAACTGTATTTGAGAGCTACCCAAAAGCATGTTGCATGTTGTTAAAATGACGGCCGGCAGGTGCTGAAGGATGCGATGTTAAATTTTTGATGGAAAACCAATTAATTGGAAAAATTAAAATCAAATATTTGCCAAAGCGCTTGAGCAACACTCAAACGAACCAACAACTGCAGCAGCAGCAGCAGCTGAAAACAACAACAAAAGTAAAGGAAAATGAGACGAATGAGGTAAAAACAAGGACTCTGAAGCTTTCAGCTCGTTGCTCGCTTGCCACATCATATCTAAGCGTCGTCCTTCATTTATCCTTTCACCCCGGTGCATGAGTGCGAGGAGAACTCAATCAGCGCACGTTTCCGCCAACAAACTCACGTGCAAACACTTTACGGGATTCCTCCTCCTCCTCATCACCCCCTCAATCACCGCTTTCTCCATCTCTCTCTCTCTCTCTCTCCTGTCTCTGTGTCTCATCTCATGCACAACTCGTTTTGTGCTTTTGAAGTGCAATTTAGCGATGCCACAGATTTTTTGCTCAGCTGTTTTTCAAGTGTGTGCGTGTGTGAAGAGTGCTTGTATGTGGCTGGCTGTGTGTGTGTGTGAGTGTGTGTGTATATATCCCGTGTACATCTGTGTGTGGTAATTAATGCAACAAGAGATGAAAATGCTGTACAAAGGTGTGCAGACAAATGGCAGAGCGACGAAGTCCGTGGAAATGGAATTGCAACTGTTGCCTTAAAGTAAAAATAAAGAATTGTATTTAAAATGCGCACAAGAAGGAATGCCTGAGAAAATTGGGGGAACTGCAAGTACCAAAAAGATTTGATTAGCTAAAGAAAAAGAGAAAAAATCGGTATTTAGATGAATTCCAGAAAGTGACTTTGATTTAATTTACAGCTAAGA